AATGTCGTTTTGCTCATCCACTCACAGGAAACATTCTGAGTCAGTTGTCACTGAAGAGACGACAGAGAGAGACTCCTCACTGGGACCAGCTGCTGTCACGGGTGACCGCGTCGCCGAGTGAGTGGGCGGGCCAGGCTGATTGGAGCCGTGGGTCGGGTGCGAGGACTGTGATGGAGGAATGCGGTCTCCTCTCGTGGCAGCTACTGCCAGCGAGTGTGGGTCGCTCTGGCACACGAGTAGTCGGAGATTGGGTTCTGGGTAGTTTGAGTATTGCAGACCTCAATGATGAGTATGAGGGCTCTCTCCATTTGAAAGCTAACTGAACATTAGCTGCCCTTCAAACTCGACATTTTGTATTGATGTCAGATGTGTTGAACTTGTGCAAGCCAGCGTGTCCAATCAACTGGTTTTTCCAAAGTCCCAGAATTAACTCTAATCATTGGCATGGCACGGCTACATTTAATCTCGTACAATTAAAGGAGTTTGCTCAATTAGTATATGTACGTAGATGGCACTTGCACTTACTTTTTTAGTACTTTTCGTGGGGAATTTCAGTGTAGCAGATTTTGTTAAATCTTTCCTGTAGCTCAGCGTTTCTCTGTCATCTCGTTCTCCGTCTCTCCTCCTCCGCTCCTCCTCGTCCCCCCTCGCCGCCTCCGTCCCCCGTCTCCTTGCACGAGCTGTCCGTCCACACTCCCCTCTCCACTCCCACACTCTCCACTGCCCCACCCTCTCTCCCGTCCCTCTACTGCGAGTCTGCTGGTGGGAACAAGATGGAGGCTGTGTTGGCGAAGGCTGTGTCTGTCCTCTGTGCTGCCATTGACCGGTGAGCTTTTTTCGTTTTTAAAATTGTAATTTCCAATTTTATTTTACATGACTCTGAAAATGTGAATGCTTAAAAATGCTGATACAAAAAACTTAGTTCCAAGCTAACGTCACTTTTGTCTTTATTTGTCTGTTTTGTCATTTTCCTATACACATGCATTGTAGGTATGCAGAGGATGTTGGTGTCATCCATGGCAACAGGGGAGGAGGAAGCCCCGCCCACCTCGTTTCCCGAGGCGGAGACTCTGCAACTCTTGTCGTCTCTGGTCTCGTGGGAGGAAGACAAAGCCCGTAGTGTGAGAGTCAAGGTGAGCCACCATTATTGTCTCCAATGAGTTTATAGCGGTCTGATTTGGTCATATCAACAATGTACATATGCACAAAGGCCTCATTTCTGGAAGCTGAGAAACGTGTTTTGCAGGTTTTGTTCGAGAAAATCCTGCTGTGCATATTAGGGTTCGTACAAAATCAGTCTAAAGCTTATACGTATGTAGTCGAGTGAACGTGTGAGTGAAATTTCAGCTGATTTGCACATACTTAGATCTTTTACTATCTACGTATCTCTAATTCGACCAGCTACAGTACATAGTCTTGTTGCTTATTTTGAAAATACTTCCCATTTCTAGAAATCGTGTGCGGAGGCCTATGTCTCCCTCATCCGCTTCCTCCCCTCCCTCTCTCCCGGGATCCTCTCTCTCCTCACGAGTGACCTCTCCGACCCCTGCACCCTCCTCCGACAGACCACGCTGCGCTCACTCACCAAGGTTGACTCCGCCCACTTCTCCCGGCATCTTCCCCTGCAGATGGCTCTGCTGGTGGCGAGGCACGACTCGGAAGAAGGGAATCGAACTCTGGCAGAAAGGTAAGCTCTCTTGTCATCATCTCTCCATTTATGTCCTTATACACTACTACACAACAGAAGGGAAGGCATATATACAAACATGCATGCCCTATGTATACCTATTTTAGCGGGACTTCTTCCAGTTTCGTATATACACCTTATGCTAATGTCCAAATAGAGAGTATTGTTGTGTATTGTAAAGGAGAAAAGCAAATAATACCGTGACAGCAAAAAATCAGCAAACAAGAAACAAAAAACATTTATTCCGGCAAGCTCACAGATAACTCATCCCTCTGTCCCTCCCCTCAGTCTGTGGAAGACCACTGGCTACTCACTGAGGAAGGAGCTGGGACCTCTCCTCCTGGCCCAGGTCCCCTCAGCCCCTCTCTCCATGCAACCAGCTACTGCTCAGGCCCTGGGTCTCTGGCTTCAGTCCCATCCCCAACAAGTCAGACTTCTTTCTCTCTCATTTCGAAACGCAGTTTCTATATAATATTATGTATTCTTGTCTATAATATTATGTAGCGCGACATTTCTGCTAGGAAAGGGTGCACTGTTTTTGAGAGAAATTGAACGTGACACACAATCTTTGTGCGTCAACATTTTGAACCCACTTAAAGTTGTCCAATTTGCATGATTTTCCTGTAGTTCTCCTTCATCCATAATGTTAATGATTTAGTACCACCTGACCTTCCCTTCAGGCGCCCAAACTGCAAGGAGACCTGTTAACTGTCTACGAGGAGAAGAGAGCTCCCCCACCTCCCAAAGAAGACAGCTTCGGAAGAACCGTCCTCGTCCAAATCAGGTCTCCCTGACTCTCTCCTCCCTCCCTTCCTCTCTCCTCCCTCCCTTCATGGACGTACACACTTGTATAGTGTAATTTGTTTGTGCGCATAATCTTTTCAGCTTTCAAAAATTTGTCTAAATCCACAAAAAGGGATTTCTTAGTCGGCCAGAAGCTCGAACAGTAACAACGATGCTAGCCAGGAAAAAGAATTTACAACTGATGTGGCACGATGAGTTTCCTGATAGCGAGTGAATTTCTACTTTTGCAGTGATCCGTGGGTGTGTCGAGTGGGTGTGGCCAGGGCCCTGGAGCAGCTGCCGTCTCACATGACTCCTCAAGAAACCATGACACTCCTGGAATTCACCATTCCAGGTATGAATAGTATCATTACCTCACCCACTGCTAAAAATAGAATATTCTACCCTCCAACCCAGGAGCTCTTTCAGACCCAAACCCCAACGTCCTCGCTGCCTTCATGTCTGCCGCCAAGACAGCCATCGGTTGCCACGGTGACGACCTTGCGGACCAGCTGATGGACCACTGCGAGGGGTGTCTCCAGTCCGCGGGGGACACGCGGGAATCCGACGTCATACGACAGTCTGTTGTGGTACTGATGGGCACTCTGGCCCGGCATCTTGACAAAGGCAATCCCAAGGTAATGTTCTTAATCTCTTTAATTGGGACGGGCTTTCTCCACATATATCTAATGTACAGTATATATGTACCACTGAGAAGCTGCTAAAGTAGGTATTGTAATACCCCATATCTTTGTACAGTGTGTTCTGAAAAACATTTCTGGCATGTTTGAGAAATCGAAGACCGTAAATACAGTGTTTTCTTGACTGTCTTCTCCTTGCCTCAGGTAAAAGCTGTGGTGAACCTTCTTCTCTCCAATCTGGACACTCCGTCTCAGTCGGTCCAGGAGGCCATCGCCGGCTGTCTCCCTCCCCTGGCACATGTCGTGAAACCCGAAGCGGAGAAAATCCTCACGAAACTCCTGGAGAAGTTGCTCGAGTCGACAAGCTACAGCCAGCGGCGCGGCGCGGCTTACGGGCTCGCCGGGCTGGTGAAGGGACTGGGGATACCTTCCTTGAAGCAGCACCGAGTGATGCCCGCACTGCAAGAGGCGATAAAGAATAAGAAGAACTATAGGCATCGCGAGGGGGCGCTCTTTGCATTCGAGTGTCTCTGCGACATGCTGGGGAGGCTGTTCGAGCCGTACGTCGTTCATCTTCTTCCCGACCTCCTCCTCTGTTTCGGAGACGGGAACCAGTACGTTCGCGAGGCGACCGACCGCACGGCGCGCACTGTCATGGGCCAGCTCAGTAGCCACGGGGTTAAACTCATCCTCCCCTCCCTCCTCACCGCTCTGGAGGAAGATTCATGGCGGACGAAAGCCGGGAGTGCGGAACTGCTCGGCGCGATGGCTTTCTGTGCTCCGAAGCAGCTGTCCTCCTGCCTCCCCAGTATCGTCCCGCGTCTCATGGACGTTCTGGCAGACTCCCACTCCAAAGTCCAGAACGCCGGCAACACGGCTCTCAGACAGATCGGCTCCGTGATAAAGAACCCCGAGATACAAGTCCTGGTGCCGATACTCTTGGAGTCACTGACGGACCCGTCCAGCAAGGCCCACGTGTGTCTCCAGTCACTTCTGGAGACGGAGTTCGTCCACGTCATCGACCCTCCCTCCCTCGCACTCATAATGCCGACTCTCAAGAAAACACTGGATCTTCGGTCGACCGAGTCCAAGAAAATGGCCGCTCAGATCATCGGGAACATGTATTCGCTCACGGACAAGAAGGACCTGGCGCCGTACCTGCCAGAGGTTCTCCCAGGACTCAAGTCCAGTTTGGTTGATCCTGTCCCCGAGGTTCGCCGTGTGTGTGCCAAGGCCCTGGGGGCAATGGTGAGTCAAACCCTTTTTCGCCGGACCACTAGCGTTTCTCTCCCTTCTCTCCCCTTTCTTGCAAAATGGCGTGTCTAGCTTCACTCCCTTTTTCTTTCAAAGGAACCTCTCCTTTCTCTTTTATTTTTTTCCCGCTGTGTCTCCTCAGTTTCCTTGTTTCATTTTCCACTCTCTCCTCTCTCATCCTTCCTCTTCTATATATGTAGTTTTTCTCTCTCCCTCTCTCCCTTCCCAGGTTGAAGGGATGGGAGATGAAACAATGGCTGAGCTGCTGCCGTGGTTACTCCAGACCCTAAAGAGCGAGTCGAGCGCCGTGGACCGTTCCGGAGCGGCGCAGGGACTGAGCGAGGTTCTCCTAGCGCAGGGCTACGACCGACTCGCCCAGCTAATGCCTCGCTTCATCGAATCATCGCAGAATCCTGATAATCCAACTCACGTTCGCGACGGCTACCTCATGCTGTTTGTCTACCTGCCCATCGCGTTCGGCGACGAATTCACTCCTTTTCTTGCTGATCTCCTGCCCTGCATCCTCAAAGTGAGTGTTCAAAAGAACATTTTTGGTAGCCACCATACTGCGAAAAATGTTTTTTTTTGGTGTAAATTTGTTACCTCACACAATTTTTTAAATTATTGTTTTGCAGTTTTGTAGCTCCGCTGATTTGGCATATATACTACAAACATCTTGCGAAATTTCCTGGTTTACGGCAATAATATTGTCTCTGTCAGTCGTTCTATCTATCTGTCCTCTTCCCTTCGTAGGGACTGGCCGATGAATCAGAGTTCATCCGAGACACGTCACTCCAGGCTGGTCAGACTCTAGTCAACAGATTTGGAGACACGGCCGTTGAACTGTTCCTGCCAGAGCTGGAGAGAGGACTCTTTGACGACAGCTGGAGGATCCGGTACAATTGCTTTGCTGTCGATCATACTTCGCTTGTGATTCATGCATAATACTTAGCATAAGGAGATCGGCTATCTTGGTAGTTACTACCCCAGCCCACTCTATATCCTTTATTATAATTATTGTTTTCCAGTTCCCCATAGAGGCATAATAATGATTTGCTCAAGCAATGATCGGTGGGAACTATATAGCTCAGTTGATGTCTTTTGCTGTGTCTATTGCAGCTGTTCCAGTATTCAGTTGCTGGGAGACCTCCTGTACAAGGTGTCAGGTCTCTCGGGGAAGATGAGCACCGAGAGCGAAGAGGACGACAACTTCGGGACAGAGGAGGCTCGCACGGCCATCATTCGTTGTTTCGGAGAGGAACGCAGGAACAGGGTCCTCGCTGGGCTCTATATGGGGAGGTGGGTGTGGCCAATACGTAAAGACATGCATATTATTCTTCCACTGTCATTGAATGTATGGCTAACATGCTAGGCCACCTACTTAAGTCTTCAGTAGCATTAGGAGTCAAACAAATGCACAAAAATTTGCGAAAACGGTTATTTTGCTGTATCTGCCATTTTCTTCCTTGCCCCCTTCTCCCCCCGCTATCAACAGGTCAGACGTGGCACTAATGGTGCGTCAGGCAGCGCTCCACGTATGGAAGGTGGTCGTGACCCACACCGTTCGGACACTTAGAGAGATCCTCCCAACCCTCGTCTCTCTCCTCCTCTCCTTCCTTGGCAGCGATTCTTCCGACAAGAGCAAGGTGGCCGCCCGCACCCTCGGGGACCTCGTTAGGAAGCTCGGCGAGAGGGTTCTCCCCGAGGTCATCCCAATGTTGGAGCGAGGACTCACCTCCACTGATAGCAAGGTTCGGGGAAGTGTGTGGCAATTACTTGGAAACTCACGAAATATTCAGGAGATTATAACAAGTGGATGTCGGGATGTGGGGCACTCCGTTGTTTTCGCTAGCTTATCCTGAGTTAATGCTCCCTCTTTATCCCCTCCTTTTTATCTTTCCCCCCTATATACCCTGTACTATGTACAAAACTGTGCGAGGTTTAGAGGTTTATAGTCAGCTGGTTGACTGGGTTGCGTGGGGAAAGCATGACTCACATGATGAACACAAGAACCCGCTGCAATCCTCCCTCCCTCCCTCCCTCCCTCTCTTTCTTGGTGTGCAGGAGCGTCAGGGGGTGTGTATAGGTCTCTCGGAGATTATCCAGCAGACATCTCGGGATCACGTCCTCCTCTACATGGACTCCCTCCTCCCGACCGTCCGAAACTCTCTCTGCGACGTGGAGGAGGAGGTTCGAGCAGCTGCTGCTCAGACCTTCAACAGTCTACACAGCACCATCGGTCTGTCAATTACGAAAGAGAGAGAGATCATTGTATGTATGTATAATCATGCTTACCTATAGGTCCACGTATATTGGACGAGGTGTTAACTCCATTGCTAAATGATCTGTCATCGTCATCACAACGAAGTGAAGTGGCACTTGATGGGCTGAAACAGGTTTCCCTCTCTCTCTCTTCTTCTTCTTCTTCAACTTCAAGATTTTCTATCTTCTCTCCACAGGTAATGGCGGTGAAAAGCAGGGTGGTTCTGCCACATATCATCCCGCAGTTAGTGAAACCACCCGTCAACGCGAGAGCCCTGGCTCTACTTTCATCTGTAGCAGGTAAAGAAGGAACTTCCTCTGTAAGATGTGGGTGCTGCATTACGTGTGTAGGCGTATCAATAAAAGGGCTGAAATTGGCTTTGCGCGGGCAGGTGGCTCTGTGGCTTAGTTGGTTAAAGCGCCTGTCTAGTAAACAGGAGATCACCGGTTCGAATCCGGTCAGGGCCTTTTTCTTTTTCTTTTCACTTCCATTCTCTTTTTACTATGACACTATAGCAGCATTCCAATACGATGTACACGTTGATTTTTTGCTTTTCACTTCCATACTTCACTTGTGATTCATCTACAATACTACGTATGTAGGTGAATCCCTGCACAGTCACCTGCATAGGATCATACCGGCTCTGATCAGCTCTCTGGTGAAGGAAGTGGACCAGGGAACTTGGGAGGCTGCCGAGGGAGTTGTGCTTAGTGTTCAGGTCCGTTTTGCCGCCCACCGTCTCCCCCACCTCCTCCATCTTCCTGCCACTCTCTTGTTACACAAGAAATCGAAGTTTTGTCTCTTCTTTCCTTCTCCTCTCTCTCCCTCAACCCCCTCCCCATCTCTTTTCCCTTTCTTCCCTCTCTCCCTCTCCCCCCACCTACTTCTCCATAATATGTTTGTATCTACAGAGTGAGCCCGGAGTGGCCACTCTAATTGAAGAGCTGGTGAAGGCGGCAAAGAAGGAGACGCCGCAGACCAGAGCAGCTGCAATGGGTCTCTTGCAGGTCATGTGTAGTCGGAGTTCTGCCGACGTCACGGAGCACGTTCCTCACCTCATCATCTTCGTGACGGAGTCCCTGAATGACCCCAGTGACCCTGTCTGTGAGAAGGCGTGGCTTTCTCTCGAGGCACTTGTTAAGGTCAGACTTGACCCTGTTCTCCAATGAATACTAAATTCGCAACAAAAAACTTCGCGAAACTCCCAAAAGCTTCTCACGAAATTCACAATAAATACTTCCGTGATTTCATAGCATACACTCAATTTGTTTAGTGGCGGAGAATGCGGGTGACATAAAATTCAACCAAAATTTGTGCATTACATTACATTACTGAAGAAATTTGGCAGCGTACCTAGAAATAGCTAAATTGAAGGTCAGATAAAAATCTTAGCATCAATTAAAGCCAGAACTATGATACTCCATGTTTACGAAAAGTGTCTTGTGTCTGTGTTTGCAGCGCGTGGATCAAAAGGAGCTGCCCCACTACATCGGCTACCTCAGGAAGGCTCTGAAGACTGTCTCCAACCTGCTCATTGGCAACGAGCTGCGCGGATTCTCTCTCAAGGTGGGTCTGTGCCAGCACTTATGCACTTACAATCCAGTACTGTACCCATGGTTTTCTACATAGTGGCGATAAAAACTCTAAGAATGCTTTCAGTTTTGGTTCTACTGTACGAACAAATTAGGAGCTCTTACTGATGAGTTTTTAAGCTAATGGTGTTCGCTTGCTCGCTGTCTTTCTCTCATTTCTCTCATTCTCTCTCTTTCCTGACAAATGTATTCACAAGGGCGTGTTTTTAACCTAGACTGATGTATTAGTGTGCATTATTTCACCAACTTTTATTTTTGCCAAATGAAGAACTGAAGCTCTGTATTATCAGTTCCCCCTCCCTCCCCCCTCCCTCCTCCCCTTCCCTCCCCGACCAACGCAGGGCATCACTCCCTGTCTCACGATGCTCAAAGAGGGCCTCATAACCGGCTCCCCCGACGAGAAAGAAGAAGCAGCCCGGGTCCTCATCGAGGTAATCCATCTCTCGTCGACCAAGACCCTCTCCACTGGCAAGGTGGTCATGCTGATAGCTGGACCTCTCATACGTGTCCTAGGCGACCGTTACGGCTGGAACATCAAGGTTGCCACGCTGGAGGCTCTGGTTGAGCTAGTCAGGAAGGTAGTAGTTTATTTCCATCTTTTTTAGTACTACATACATACATACATACATGTACTGCTCCCTTATCACATTAGGGTTGCGGATTGCGGTGCTTTCTTATTGTAAATCAAAGGTTATTATTTCACGTCACATAAGAACAGAAGCAATTATGGCACGTTTCCAAATCACTAAGTAACGCATGTGACGTAATCCCCATATAAGAATTTGGTCAAGGAAGCGTTCTAAAGTTTGGTAGTTACTGGCTCATTCTGCGTGTGTTGAATACTCAATTTGTGTCGATGTTTGTGTGTTTTCTGTTTTCCTCCTCTGTCTGTGCTAGGTTGGGGCAGCTGCAAAGTCATTTCTGCCACAGCTCCAGACTTCGTACCTGAAGGCGCTGGGTGACGTAAATCGTCCCGTTCGTGTCCAGGCAGTAACCGGTCTGACCGAGCTTCTTCCTCTCGCCGTTCGAGTCGACCCTGTGTTCAACGACCTCCACAATGGAATAAAGGTGTGTGTGTGTATAATGCACGCAGATTTTGTGAGAAATTCAAACTTTGAGAACAGCCAAACGAAAGAAATTTCAAGTTTGAGAGCAGCCCAAGTTTATTCAAAGAACGTCTCCCTTCTTTTAGCATCTGCAGTGTCTGTGAATTCAACTTTGTTGTAAGAAATCGAAGTTTTACAGGAAATGGGAAGTTTTGCAAACCATAGATACCTCACGAATGTCGTAATTTACAACCTTTCTGCTGTGGTGCCGTACTTATTCCCCGCTCTCTCATTCCTCCCTCCCTCCATCTCTTTGTCTCTCTGCAGAAAAACGACGACCCTGCTCTGAGACTGACGGTGCTCCAGGCTCTGCACGGAGCGGTGGGGGCGGCTGGAGGGAGAATGAGTGAGAAACACAAGACTGAGATACTGGCCACTCTGCTCACTCTCTACTCCACCGCACAGGTCTGCTTTTAGAGCTGTACACTTATACAGTGCATTTTGTGTGGATTAGTTTTCGTGGGTCACTGACAAGTAAAGCGAACTGTTATGACAGCGTATAATCATGAAAAAGCCAAGAAGTAGAAACATTCTTATTTCGATCGCTTTGGCAAGGGAGCTGTATTGCATTTCTGCGACTGGAACCTAAGTACATGTGCTGTTGAAAGTGACAGAATGTTCTCCATTAGAACCCCTCTCCCCTCCCTCTCTGTGCAGGAGAGCAACAGACTGCAGGCGGCCCAGTGTACCGGCGTCCTCTGTTGCCATCTCTCTGACGACCAACTCACCTCCGTTCTCCGTGACACACTCCTTCAGGCAGACGGAGAATCTGATTGGTCGCTGCTCCAGGCGAGGGCGACGGCGCTCTCGGCGGCAGTGGAGGCGGCAGCTGCTCGTATCGAGGCAGTCAAGATGGAGAGAGATGTGGTCAACGCAGCTGTCAAGTTTGCATCTTCAGACAGAGTAAGTATTCCTTTAACCAGGACTTTGTTTTTGTTTGTTCTTTCTTCTTGTAGTACTTTGAGAGAGGAAAATGTCGATTTGAATTTTTAAATTTTCACCTTTTGAAGGGGCTGCTTGTCAATAGTATAAAAACCAGCTCACCCAAAGCTAACATGCAGAAATTTTCCTATCTGAAGCTCTTTTGCTATGATCCACACACCGCCTTCTTTACTGTTGTTACGTTACATTGTTGTTTAGATCCCTGTGTGTGTGAGTGGACTGCAGGCAGTAGGCAGCTGCATCAATCACTTGGCTGCTGACCCGGCAGTTGTTCTTCCCGCCTTTACCCAGGTATGCACTCGGCAATGCTGGAATGTGAGAAAGAGAGTGGATGGGGTGGAGTTCTAGGCAGTCGCTAGAATGAACTTGTAATTTATGTTCTTTTTACACAGGGGCTAACCCACTCCTCCACAGACATTCGCATCGCCGCCTGTGATGTGTGCAGCAGTCTAAAGGTGACCCCTGACCCCCTCCTCTCTGCCATTCTCCCCCTGTTGCTGGGCAACACCCAAGAGAAAAACACAGCTGTCAGGGCTTCAGCTGAATCGTCCATCTTTGAACTGGTGGGAGACGAGGCAGGACTAGCAGTAAGTTTCCTTCAAACACCATAATTCGCAGTCAAAAGGTACACACACTTCCTAATTAAAGCACACTCTGTCAAAGACCATTCTCGTTCAGCATTCATCTACACTAGCTGTTCTAAAAGAGAATCTTTACAGAAGCTATTGTACTGAGGGCTGTGTTATATACTTATGTAGGTGGTATACGTATCAGGTCCCATCCAATGACAATATGTGCAGATTTTAAAACTCCTCCCCCCTCTCCCTCTCTCCCCTCTTTTAGCATTGCACGACGCTGGTGGGTGGACAAGCAGCCAAAACTCTAGAGACGGTCTTAAGTAAAGTGAAAGCAAAACTAGCCAAGGAAAATTAACTGTAGTTATTGTCACTGTTGAAAAATGCAAAAAAAACTGTTGTGTAATAGCAATGATGTGATAATGACTCTGTGTTAATAATGTCAATAATCGAAAGGTGGACGATAGCGTGACAAAGCTCTGTAGCGATGCCGTTGGTCACTGTAATGGCCGTAGGGGTGGGCCGGGGGAAGGACACCGAAGGGGTAGGAATGGTGAGGCGGGGAGTAGGGCCCGTGGGGTGGTGGGGTGTGTGGCAGAGTGTAGTGAGGGGGCGGAGTCATGGGGTGGGCGGAGAAGGGGAAGACGTCCGGTGGAGTTCCACTTGGGTGGCGCGGAAGTAAAAATGTAATGTCAGCGACCACAAGATGGTCTGGGTTATACGAGAGCGGTAAACATAGCGGCCTGCTGGGGTAAGGGTAGACCCCTGGTACGCTGTGGTGGTACGGTCGCGGTGCCCTCCCCAAAATCCCCGGTCCCCCTCCCCTCCCTACCACCGGCGAGTGACTCTGCGAGGACAGAGGAAGAGGTTGGTTTGACTTGCTGTCAGAAAACGACTGCCACAAACTGTCGCTTGCAGACCTCTGCTTCGCCTTCTTAGTTTGAACGCTCCGGGTCGTCTCCCTGCTACTAGTACTGGTACTAGTCTCCTTAAACTTTCAAACGGCGCAAAGCTTCACCATGATTACCAGGAGCTTAAACTGACTGGGAGCTGTGCCACAGAATGTTTGCGGGAACCATCTGAAGAGAGGGAGCTTTCGACGAAGGCTTCGGTATACACGGGGATTGGGGCAGACCATGAACTCCTGGTGAGCCGAGATAGGAGATCCAGGAGCCTCTGCGTCTGAAAACTTGAGACGACGTTCTTTGAAGAAGAGGGGGGGACGACGAGCGGGTTTAGCTACTTTCATTTGGGAATATAGAATGATGAGCTACCAGGGGTGTCCTTTTAGAGAGGATCCACGTCGCTGCCCAAAGGTGGTATAGCACCCACTTTACACACCACTGAAAAGGTAGTTTGGCGAGACAGACCATCTCTCCTTGCCGTGAGGGTCTGGCTTAGGAAGACTCTTGTTTGGTAGCAGTGCCTGGCTTCATCAGACCACGTGTTAGGCCTCTCTGGGGAGCTTTTGCTCAAGCCCCTCCATTTCATAGATTTCCACTGTAGACCAACTGCGTGAGATAAGCATCTACACAAGGTGATACAGTACTGCGTGGAACGGCCTCTTGCGAAAGGCAGGTCATTGCTGTGAAAGTAGAGCTGTGGAAGGTCTTACCCAATGCA